GCCATGGTGTCCTCTCCCACCATGACTATGACCATGGCTATGGCTGTGTCCATGCCCGTGTCCATGTTTAAATGCACATATCCCTACTAAATTCACTATCAATCCCAACACAGAGACGACGAAGAGCCTCTCGTGTTTAATCTCCGGTGGCTCGATGGCTCGTTCCACTGCCTCTGACATGATAAATAAGGCTATAAACAATAGGAGCAGTCCGTTCACGAAGCCACCTAACACTTCGGCTCTAACATATCCATATGAGTATCTGTCGTTTGCCCTCCACTTGGTGATGACGGATGCCGCTAAACCAAATAGCAGGCCAGTGCAGTCAAAGAACATGTGAAAACTGTCGGAGATGAGACCGAGACTGTTGGTCCATATTCCATATAGCAGCTCGACGAAGGCAAAGGACAGGTTGAGAATCAGGAACAGAAACAAGTTACGAGTGTTCGGGTCAGAGAAGATGAGACGTTTCCAACTAAGCAGCTTCTCCTTGATCCTACTTCGGAAGTTGGAACGTGAATCGCGTGGACTGTGAGAAAGGGGCAGCATCTTGGAATCACACTGATCCTACAGGCGTAAATCTGTTCTAAGGAGAAAATTTAGTGTTATGACAAGATGGAGAGAGACCAAAAAGTGAATAAAAGTAAACATCAGTATCAAAGTAAAATAAAGGCAACATTTCGGTATTAAGATAAAACATTAAAGCAAGTAAAGTTTCTACGTCAAAATAAAACAAAGATGCTAAAGTAAAGCTTTAGTATTAAAAAATAAAACAAAGATACTAGTAAAGCTTCCGTAAAAAATATATATATTCCGTTAAAAAAATATAACAAAGACACCAAGACAAAGCTTTGATAATACAAAATATACCAAAATAAAGCTTCGTTAAAGCAAAGATATTCCGAATATGGTCGTGCCTTTTTTCGCAGAAATTACATTTATATTTTCACAGCCTAAACAGCAAAATGATCGTCTATATTTTCGTAAATGTGTGTAACTATATATATATATATATATATAAATATGTTGCCGTAAGACATGTCGCTCTTCAGGTAATACAAATTCAAAAATCACGTAAATTCTTAAATTAAAAGCAGACGCACATCTGTCTCAACAAAGTAATTAAAAACTTCCGGAATCTCTTCTGCAACACCAGGTATGAAGAGACAAAGCGTAGCGATTAATCAGACCAGTCGACATACGGTATTCCCAGCTGTTTGACACGCGTCAAGTTCCACTAATTAGAGCAACACGTACAAACATGTGCGTGCATACATACGTACGTTCACGCGCGGCCACGTCCAACGTTCAGGACGTACTCTAACCTAACCTAACCTAATCCGCGCCCCGTGCGAGACTCACCTGTCGCGCTGCCAAGCTCGTCCCGTCGATGTCAATCCACTGTCCCGTATTGCATGCCGGCTGTCAAAGATGCAGAGAAGTGGATCGCGTGCGGCAGGAAGATGCGCTGTGGAGGAGCGTGGCCATGCCGCGTGGTCCCGGTCGGTCGGTTGTTGAGCAGGAAGAACGGGAGGAACGAGAGCCGGCCGCGTCGCAAAAGGGAACGTACGCGCGAAATTATGTTCGACGATGACAGTCGATGTTTCCCTTCGTGATTGTCAATACCGACGTCAACGACTCGCCTCCTCACAATAAGTCCACGTAGCCGCGACTTCGATCAACGTAGTTGTCAGTAGTTGCTGGATCAGGCCGGGAGGATTGACATAGATGGCGCGGCGATTGCTGTCGCCAGCGGAAGTGACGTCGCTCGCCATGGCGAACAGTCTACTTCCCTTTTCTTTCTCACGCGACAGCCACCATGGTAAGTTCACGTATTAATTGTGTGACATTTTCAATGGAATCCTATAAAAGATCCATAGATATTACGTAGAGTATGAGAGCCTCGTGAAAAATGGTAAATTTTTATTAGATTGTGAGTTACGCGCCGGGTGCATCTTGTGTACATACGAAAAGCACTTCTTATCATTGGATCCTCCACGTTGCTGCAGCAAATTTAATTTTCTTGCTTTATTTTCTTGCTTTAGTTTGATAATGGTATAATATTTAATACTAAAAGCAAGATAATAACTGTATTCAAAGAATATATTGAAATAACAACTAGAGATTATTACCGATAACATAACCTTTTTTTTTCTTATGCTTGAAATGAAGTTTGTTAATATTTCTATAAACTCGAAACGATGTCTTTGCGCAAATTTAAATGCAAACGTGTCATTCTCTTTCTTCAGTCTCTCTTTGAGTTTTAAATATCACATTCATGGGTTACATTTAGAGATCTGTTCTCAGCTGAAAGTTTTGTATATATTTTTTCTTTCTCTTCAATATGGAAAGAAAAAAAGAAATATATATCATACAAAAGAAGTTCGGCTAAAGAGAACAAGTTCAGATAGAGCTATTACTATACACTGTTACCAGGGCTGGACGTACGAAATATTGAAGTACTTTCATTTGAGAAACATGTAACATAATTGTATTTTGCATTTCAAGTATTAAGATTGACAATTAATCCTATTTGAATTACTAAATACAAAATACTTTCAACTTTTCGATTTGAGATACAAAGAAAGCACTAAAGAAGTAATAAGTTCAAACGATGTATACATTTAGACAATACCTCTCCAAAATATCAGATTTTTTTGTTTTGTGGATATATAGATTTATATTTTTGGTAAAATTTATGATGACCAGTTATTTTCTAGATAAATACTGTGACAGTAAAATACTGATTTAATGAGTCTGACCATAATTCTTGAATACAATCAAATTTTATCTTTCGAATGTGTCTTATATTTGATCTTTTATTATAGCCGCCTAAAAAGGATACAAAGGGTTCCTCTAAACAGCCTCAGAAAACCCAGAAGAAGAAGGAAGGCGGATCTGGTGGAAAGGCTAAGAAGAAGGTTTGTACATCTCAATATAATGCTCATAGTGGATAATTTCAAGCAGTTAATCTCATTTGATGTGCATTTTTCAACTTGAATACCTATGGAAGTAAAAACTGATTTAATGAGTCTGATGAAATTTGATTAGATTTTTTTTTGTTATTTTTAATATCACGTTAAAATCGTTTTGGTATAATATTCTCTCTCTTTGTATTCTTGCAGAAATGGTCCAAAGGAAAAGTACGTGATAAGTTAAACAATCAAGTACTCTTCGACAAACTTACATATGAAAAGTTGTTAAGAGAAGTACCGCAGTACAAATTGATTACTCCATCAATTGTTAGCGAAAGGTTAAAAATTAGGGGATCTCTCGCAAGACGGGCACTGATAGAACTACAGCAGAAAGGCTTCATCAAGCAGGTTGTGCAGCATCATGCACAACTTATCTATACACGTACTACTAAGGGAGATGACCCAGCAGTATAATATGTAAACATCAATTTAATAAAAAAAATTCTAAGCCAAGATACAATTCTATATTCTTCTAATCATATATTTACAATCTATTGACTAACTAGTTTTCATAATGGCAAATATCACTTGATGATAAAATTTAATTTATTTCAATATTAATTACAATAAAAATATTTTATGTAGGTAATGCACATATTGGATAAAAAGTTAGTTAAAAAAATCAATGAAAACCCATAATAAAAGAATTCTTTTTTGAACAATTTCTAAGTAAAATAAACTTCTTGCAATTTTTCTGATAGTAGTCGCGTTGAAAGTGGAAAATCAAATTTTTTGCACAATACATCATAATAAATTAATTTGTTGGAATGTCTTTATTTACATTTAACATGATGAATTGACAAATTATATTAAAATAAACGATATTTTTTTTTATTGTACATTAGTAAACGCATTATAATTCCATGTACATATTTCCTTGTATCACACCATCCATCACACATCTCCGATAAAAATGGATACAGGATTAATAATTATATTTTCATAAAATCTTTTTATCAATTATTTTGTGAATACCAATTTATTGAACTATTGAATCTGCAAAAAAATTATTTTGACATATATTGCAAGAAAAAAAAAACATTTCTTATTTTTGATGGCATAATTCAAGATGGCTGTAAGAAGGAAATATATAGAAGTTCTCTAAGCAAGTTAAGAAGCAGGATTTAATTTTTTAATCGTTATAAAAAAATATTACAAAAAGATAGAAAGTTATATCTAAATAAATTTATCATTTCATTACATTTCAGTATAACATAAAAAATAAGTTTTGTTTTATATCAAGAAACAGTATTGATATTAATACATAGAATTTGGCCATTATATTTATAGATAATTTATAGTAGGAGAAAAGAAAATAGAAAATAAAACTTAATTAGAAAATGAATTCGATAAATTATTCAATTTATTCTAAAACCATACAAAACTCATTCAACAAATATCTATTATTTTCTGTTTTATTTATACTATTTATATTTTTTATCATACAGAATGTTCTCCATCGTTAACTCTCTGTCTGAGGTATTTTTACTGAAATGTTTTAAATCCCTGATTTAAAACTTGATATTTTAGGATACGTATTTGCATCGGAGATAATATTTTATTGCATTCGCTTGATGTAATTTGAGTACTATAATTCCCTATTTTTAGGCGGGTAATTATTATTGGTGCTTGTCAACAGACGACACAGTATGATGTAGTGATCATGTCATCTTTGTTTAACATTGACAAATAACAAGGATGTAATATGATGTTCACTGTGTTATACTGTATCATACGTGTCTCTTGCTAGAAATCACCCTATTTCTATTCTCAATATTACAGTATCCTATATTGTCAAACATAGTTATCTAAGTCAGATAATCGATTTGTGTGCGTATGCCATTGATCATGTGCTTTGGATCTTTAAATAATTCTGGTTTAGAGTCAATTAGATTTTGTATCTTACACAAATCTATACTCACTTTGAGACAAAATTCATTATTTTTTATCCTAGTCTCACCATTACGACGTACAGTATTTTCTTGAAACGCTATGCATTGAATGAAATTTTTAGAATTGCACGCATCGATCTGCTTACTTAGGATACTATGTTCATTAAACCTTGTAATATTCGAGACACGCGTGACATTATTAATCTTTGGACTGTTCATACTATTTAAATTTTTTAAACCGTTCTGTGATGTTAGAGAATCGTCTGTATGATCATTACCAATTTTATCATCATCAGTATGTTGACTCAGAATAGTGATATCATTTTGCGATATTTTCTCAATGTTTTTATTCATATTATTTAAATCAAAATCAACACTATATACTATTCTATTAGTCTCCTTAAAAAATAGTTGAGCCCTGGACCTTTCTTCTGTATGCATAGAAATTACACTATGTATAGACGCTTGTTTATGTTGCTGTACAGTTTCTAAACTAACTTGTGAACCTTGGTTCGAAATAAGCGGTACAATAGTATCTACATTCGTATTGCAAATTGTTCGATTTAATACACTTACATTAGTATCACTTGAAACGAGACACGTTTCACTGTCATTCTCATCCTTAAAACAGTTATTCATTGCGCTGTCAACATTATTTGTCGAGTTCATATTGTCTAATGTATCGTTATGCGATGGTACTCTAGATCTGATCGGATTTAAATTCTCTTTAACATCATCCTGACTGTGTGCTATGTACATTTTGTCATTAATTAAAAAATTTTCATTTTTCAAAGAGCGAAAAAGCTTGTCGGTACGTCTCTCAGTTGTAATATTATCGATATACTCTGAACTGTAAGCTTCACAAGATGCAATGGTAGACATTTCTTTTGCCTCCCGCGATGCAGCTACACCTGCCAATCTTTTACTTTCCTTGAGGTCCTTCATCGAAATATTTACGGAGAACGTATCGTATAAAATCATCTAAGCAAAAAAAATATAATTAAATTAACGCATGACAAAAATTGGTAAATGAAGCCTAAGGCAATCTCAAATCATAGACAAGGAACAAGGAACAACATTTAAAAAATCGCATATATAGTTCTTGATAATCTATTATGCTGTGTTCT